TTGGGTTATATAATTAAACTCTAGACGAACAAAGGAAACCAATAATATGTACTTAGTAATTTATTTCCACGGTATTGCATTTATAAATTTATTCTTTATGTTATAGAGGAAAAATGACGTGGAAAATGAGAGTAGTTAACAAATGTACACTTTTAACGAATCTTCCTGTTTGTTTTAAACAACGAAGTGCAGTGCTCATTTTTACTCCATTACCTGACTTGCGTTGCGTGTGCGAGCTGCAGCTGTCATCGTCTCCAGTCTCCATCAATTCCAATCACATCGCTCGGTTGATACAATACATCTTGTGGCTAGAAACGAGACTAACTTCTGAACATATATTTAATATCGTTTCACATTACCCCCACCCCCTTCCCCACATGTTTAATTGGAACAAAATCACATATTTTCTCTGTAAAAAAATATAAAAATATTTTTTAAAAATTAAATATTTAAAAATATAAAATATTTTTAATTTTTGAGGTGTAATCATTATTTTTTTAAGTGTTTTTATTGATCATAAATTTATATTTATTATAGATTATTTAATAGGGATAAATATAAAAAGATAGAGTTAGTTTGAAAGTAGGTAACTATTTTATTGAGAACAAAATTCGGTTAAAAATGTCTTACATTTTTAAATGGAGGGAGTATAATTTGCAATTAAAGGACTTATTTATAAATAAGTTTTAAAAATTTACAAAGGAAAAATTAAATATAAGTCTTATGTGTAAATTTATTTATAAATAAATTTCACAAGATTAAAAAAACACAACTAGGTAAGAGACTTGAGTGTACTTTAAAATTGAGCTATAAAAATATTAATGCTCCTATTAAAAATATATTACATCAAATAAGTAATTTATAATAATTTTATCAGTAATTTATAATTATCACTTTAAGTTTTTATAACTGTAAGTTCACATCTTTAATAGTTAAATCGATCATGCATTACAAGTAAATGCAATATTATCTTTGCACCATAATTTTAAGTTATATTCAGGTTCTTAAAAACCTGGACCTAATTATAATTTTTAAATTTGGGAGATTTATATATAAATAAGTGTACTGTATGGAATCTACATGTATTTTGTTGCGTTTATAAGTGACGTCCATTAAAGCCCAGGCATACTTGTCAATGGGTGTAAAAAGACTACATTGCCTCAACTTTGAACCTTTTCAATTCGTAAATGAATCCTCTCCTTTAACAATTAAACGATAGAGGATAATTAATCTTTTATTTTTGCTTTAAATTTATCGACTCATCTTTCTTTCACCTTTTAAAGTTTATTAAATATACTATCTTTTTAAATATGAAATTTTAAATCAAAATTTTAAATCCAAACCTTTTAACTTAACGCTATCTTAGAGATCAATTGTACATATAAACTCACCAAATTGTCATCCTCCTCTCGTATATAGCATCAATTTTTTTTTTAAATATCCTTTGTATTATTTAATGCCTCTCATCTTCTACTTCATCTTTTTCCACCATCACCCCACAAGAAAAAAATAATAAATAGACTGTCACCTAATCCTCGAAGCCAAATGTAGTGTGAAAAAATGGCACTCTAAATAAAATTAAATTGAAAATTATTTATGTATGTATGTGTTTATGCATATGCATAAGCGCGAAGGTATGTGCATGTATAAACTTAATGCCTTGAAATATTGAAGAAAGATCCATAACTTCTGTGTGTTTGTAGCGGCCTAAATTTGTGTGGTAATGGTCGTGAATTCTTCTTAATTTATATATCTTTTCTGGAAGTTCTAATTAAACAAATTAATAAATATTATATATATCAAAACCCTTTAGCAGCCGTTTGGTTTTAGAGGCTTTAGAGAGAGGGGAGGGTCCCCTTATTTGGTTGAGATATTTTGGCGAGGAAGGGAGCCAAGATTCCCCTCCCCTCATTTCGGGAGCAAAACTTTTCTCAGTTTTCAAGTGGGATTCCATAAATACCCACATGTGATTGTTTTTTTTTTTTAAAAAAAAAAAACTCTCCTCTTAATCGACATTATCCAAAATTTTGGGCTTTACCTGGAGAGTGTTTCTACCAAAGAAGACGCAGCAGAAGAACCTTGTGGTCGAACATTATTGTTAAGCTTTTTGAGACAACTCTTCTAGTAAGAGATAGCTTTCCAAAGTGAAGAATTCAGACGTAGCAGAAGGAAGAAGCTAAACATCATGTGCAATAATCTAACAATAAGGAAGTTGAAAAGGAAGCTTCTTGGTTGCCAACGCATTGTCCTTTCATTTTAATTTCTTTCTCCAAACTTGCAGTTGCAGCATTCTTGGTTTGCGCTAGCTAGTTTATTTAATTTGTAAAAAATTGTTATTATTATAATTGGTTTACTTTTTTATATGATAGGATAAGAGCGAATTTTCATAAATCAAGCACTTTAAATTAAGGACGTATATAACTATTTTATACAAGGAGGAATTAAAAAAAAATTAAATTAACTAATGAATAAGGATATGTTACCCTCCCCTCCTACCAAATAAAGAATTATTAAAGACTCCTCACACGTTGTCGAATAAAAACAAAAGAGCTAATATAAAAACACTCCCCCTCCTTTGAACAAAATGTGTAGCCTTTAGTCAAGGTGGGCGCAGCCTCCAAAATGATCTTCACCACTTCTATGAGATACACGTAATTTTATTTAATCTGTAAAAATTCTGAAATTAATTTTGGCACCAAGTTTTTCCCCCTTTAACCCTACTGTTGCTTGATTCGCGTTCACCGTTGACTAAAACCCTAATACAGATATATCTCTACGGTACAAGGAAATATCTAAACCGGAAATTAAAAGAAACTAAACAAATTAAATATTTTAGTTCGAATAGGTAAAAAAAAAAAAAGATACTGCCTATATTTTTTCAAGACATTTGATCAAAATTATATATATATAATTTTAAACATTCGATCGATATACAAGTTTATAGGCAGGATCCTATAACTTTGATCCTTATGTATATAATTTTAGTTCGTATAGGTCAAAATATATATATATATATATATATAGTCACGCAGTATATATCTCGATAATTTAAAACATGTCCACCCCTTCAAGACATTGATGTGGTTTTTTTTTTTTTAACTATCATCCAAAGTCTTTAGATCAGAAGAAAAGTTCTAAAGAAAAATGAAAATAAAAACCAGATTTTTATTAGTACGTAGTGGGCTGGAAAAATAAGGGTAAAACTTAAACATTTCGTCTTCTATATTTAGTATAATGCATCCAATCAAATCAAAACAAGTAAATTTTAATATATTAATAACATTAATAGTAAGAGTTTTTATAGAATAAATAATATATAAAAGATAAACATGTCTTGATTTAATTTAAAACAAATACCTTAAATATATAAGGTTGAGTATTTAAATTTTTTATAAAAATAAATAGGAAATTAAAGTGGGAGCTGGCCCATAATTAATGATGATGTATAAATTCTAGTAGCCCTATAGACATTAAATTAAAATAAATGTATGACATAAATGATAAAACACATGGGGCATAGTCAATTTGGTTGATAAAAAAACCTATTAATTTTTATGAGGTGGGTTAACATGAATCATTTGCACTGCAAAACACATGGATCATTCTTAGAGTTTTTTTTTTTTGTTGTATCTTCAAAGTTGATCATGATCAGTTTTTAAGAGGATCTCAATCCTATCCGATCTCAAACATGATAGGATGAATTTTAAAATGGGATAAGATGTGAGATAAAAATTTACTTTTAATCATTCTTTGCAATGTGACAAGTGATAGTGTTATCTCAATCCTATCCTATGAACACCCTTATCATTCACACCTCTAATTATAACCCTGGCCTTTAATTTAAAAAGAAAAAATAACCAAGGAAATAAGTTTTATAATATCTCAATTTTATAATATACATGTGTTAAAAATTTACTATTTAATAATTATACATATATTAAAATATTGTACAATATATTAATATTTATTTAATATTAATTTGTACAATGTTCTAAAAAATCATGTGCATCGCACAGGTGTATGGCAACCACCTATTCATTCAAGTGTCGTTTTTTTTTTTTATTTTTTTTAACTTCTTTCACTCTTTATTTAGTATAACAAATGGTTGCATTTATCCACAATCTATCTTTACAAATTATCTACCTTTCTTTATTTATTGCAACTGATTGTTGGGTCCATTATCAGATAATTGTTTCTCACCAAAAAAATTTTGCGCCGCCATTCTTAGATATTAATAAGTAACCGAGTAGTTATGTCTTATTATTGTTTTAGATATATAACCACTTAATACATACAATTTGCCACCATCTAACAATTATTAGAAGAAGTTGCAAAAATAACCTGGTGTGCAATGCACGGGTGATTAACTTGTTAAACATAATAAGAGGGTTTTTGCCCTAATAATTACTGTCTGCATGTGCTTGTTTAGTCGCAAGTGTAGCCCTGAACGAATGTTTGTTTGGAATAAAAATGTTGTTGCTTCTCATACTTTAAGATTCAGGTATCCACCTCTTGAATGCTTATCCAAATATACGTTATATATATTAATGAATTTTCGTTCCAAAACTTGAATTACCAAGTACTTTGATGTACGTTTTAAATTAAAATAAATAGTATTAGTGAATAATCACGTGTTTGAAGTGATGTGGAAAAGTGGAAAACATACAGTCGGTAAATCTAGTAAAAAAAGGGACTACGAAAAGTCTTATCAAATTAAGATCATCGTCGGGTCGCTTTAGGTGGAAGGGAAATCCATTTGAACATTTTCGTAACCTAACCAGAGGTGAGCATCGAGTAGAACCAAACAGTCAAATAATTCAGCTAAGTGTCTTCGGACATGGGTCCCAACATTCATGACTCATGAAGAAACACAGTAGTCTCCCTCTCGTGCTTCCGGACTAATCCAAAGAAGACGAATTACTAAACAGTAGTGGATGGCAAGTGGATCGACGACGTACGTAGGGTTTGTGACGCTATAAAAGGCCACCACTCCCTACTCAGTTTCATGCACCAAAATGGATCCATATCCAAATCGGAAAGCCCCAAACACTATGCTCCTCAACTGCTTGCTTGTGTTCTTCGTGGCTCTCGTGTTTCTGACCCCGATCTCTATTGCCGACGAGCAGCCTGAGGTGGATGGCCTTCCCCAGGGATACTACAAGTCACCGCCCAAGTACAAGCCACCAAAATACAAGCCACCGCCCAAGTACAAGCCCCCGAGCACTCTAGAGAACGAGCCTCAAACTCAGGTGGACGACGTTCCACAAGGATACTACAAGCCTCCACCAAAGTACAAGCCACCGCCCAAGTACAATCCACCGCCCAAATACAAGCCACCGCCCAAGTACAAGCCACCAAGCGCGGTTGAGAATGAGCCTGAAACTCAAGTAGACGACGTTCCACAGGGATACTACAAGCCGCCACCGAAGTACAAGCCGCCTCCGAAGTACAAGCCGCCTCCAAAGTACAAGCCACCCACTGCCAATTAGGTTATGATCACTGGAACCTCTATGCAGAAATAAGAGTACTCGTTACTCACGTGTATTTCATCTAATTATCAAGTACCGCTATGTAGATGCATGCATGAACGCATGCTTCTATTATCTTCTTACTCTGTGCGTGTGAGCGCGCGTAAAGCTTGTTTATGTTGTGTTCTCGCGGTCCTTTGATCAGGTTTCACGTTTAATATAATTCTGCCCTTGTTAAAGTATAAATATGTGCGTGAGCGAGCAGGATGGAAGTCCCTCTCGGCGCATGACGCGTTTGATGTTTCTGTTCTCTCGCTATGGGTGTCCGTGCGCGTGCATGTTTGCTGGATAAGGGCTTTAATTTAGTTCAATGGATGGATCAATAATAGTAAATATAATGCTTAATCTAATAAATACTAAGACACCTTTTTTCTGAAATATCATATTAAAATTTAATTATAATGAAATTTCAGGTCTTTTAAAGTTTAATTAATAATATTTTTTAAAAAAATGCTTTTAATTAAGATGTGTAGTCAATAATATTTTCTAATTAAAAAATTTTATTAGATAAGAGTAAATATCAAAGCATTGAGAATTAGATAAATTATTGACCTAGTCAAAACGCTAATCCAAAGGGTTAGTAGTTTAATCAAAAATTCAAACCGATTATTATTAAAATAATATTTTTATTATATAATAATAAATAATTAATATTTAGTAAAAAAACAATGCAAGTTTAGTTAAAATCTTTTTTTTTTTAAATTATAATATATAGACTTGCAGTATCTGTCTACGTGTAGCCTGGCACATATCATCATCCTCTCTACACGTCAACTTAAAAAGTGAGAATATGTGATTCGGATCTTGAATTTTTGAGCGTATGTTTAATTTTTTGTACCTTACTGTTTTAAGACTTTTTCTTTTTTCAAGAATGACATTTATGACTCAAAAATTTAAATTAATTACAGTTAAATTCTCAATAATTTTTTTTCAAAAATAATAAAAAATATCAATTCAGATAATTATAAAATTAAAAATTTTAATTATAAATAAGTATTTAAGTATTAAATATAACTCTTATTCTAACAAAATATTTTATTTATAATTATTTAAATTATTATTTATAGTTTATTTATAAAAAATTTAATCAGGTTCTAATTGTTATTAATTCAGTATTTTATAACTTTAAGAGTTATTCTCCCCCCCCCCCCCCAAAACCACCAACAGCATGTCAGACTTTTCTACATCGATCGGCTCATTATTTAAAGTTTTTAACTTTCCTTGCAGGCGTCTTAATCTTATTCCCTCTCCTTTCTTCATCTTCTTCCATCTACTTCTTCTTTCGTCGCTTTCTGCTGGGCAAGCAGCAAGATGAGACAAAAACGGCGAGGTTTCAGAACAGAGACACGGTGAGAGACGAGCGACTGTGACGTGCGAACAAGTTGGGGCTTTGACGGACACAAACTCGATCGAGAGAGGCACTGGAGTTTAAGGCAGAGAGCAATTTAGGTTGGGCTCTAGGGAATTCATATGGGAGATTCATTTCTCTGTTTTTTTTTTTTTTTTACAAAATCAGAACAGAGTCATTTAGGGGCTTTTTTTTTTAGAGAATTATCTTAAAATTTTACACAAAAAAATTAATTATTGTAAAGCTTATTAATGGCTGAACTAAATTGTATTGAATAGTCTACAAACTTTACAATAATTAAGTTTTTTGTGTAGAATTTGAGTATAACTTTTTTTTTTTTAATTGAGAAGGCTAGCTAAAGCTAAAAAATACAATCCGAAAGATTAGGCCTTCTGAGCAAGGCATCTCCCCTGACTTTGTGCTGGGAAAAGAAATCAGTACGACCAACGGGTAAGTCATGTAAAAGAGACAAATGGTTAATTAGGCGCTTTCACAGCAAGCTTGGCCAAAATATCTGCACAAAGGTTGGCTTCACGTGGAGGATATCCTGCTGTTCACAGACAGTTTTTACATATCCACAATATCTGAATAAAACGGGTGATTATTTACTGTCACCCTATATATCAGATCAAGAGCTTCCATGGAATTTGATGACAGAACAAGGTTCCCAGAGTGCACATGTTTGCAGGCTTCCAAACCAGGCGTGATTGCTTTAATTTCAGCAATGGTAATTGAAATATTCCCCAAGTTTCAGGTGAACCCTTAGATCATTAATTAGTGTTTTCATATAATTCAAAATGTTCTTAAATTTAAAAATTGAAAAAAGAAGTTGCAAACTCAATAAAATAAAATTATAAATTTAAAAGATAAAGTTACTTGAAGTGATCAAATGATGACATATTATTTTTTAAATTTAATTATTAATATGTGTATTTCCTAGTAAAATTGAGAAACAAGTTGCAAAGCCAAGATAAGGAAATTACAAATTTGAGAGACATACTATTAATTCTGTGGTTTAATTTATTAGGCAATTTTGAAAAGTTTATTTTATTCCCAAACCAAAACTTCAAACGCCAATTTGAAAAAGTAATATTACATAATGCCCCTTCAGGTTTTAACATCTTAAAATTGTGCAAATATTGCTTAATTGAGAGATGAAAATGAGAGATGATGGGAGTAGCGGGAATAATTGAGATATTAATGATTAAAACGTGAAGAAAAAAACGTTGGAACAGTTGAAAATTTAAATAATTAGGGTTTGGGAAAAATTTAAAATTGCAAAAAAATTATAATAAAATATAGATCTAAAAACTTTTATAGGTCTAAAAGGAGTAGTTAGTTAAATCTAAATCCTTATATATCCAAATGCAATATATCTATGTTAAATTGAAAACATGATTTTCAAGATTATACAATTAAATTAAATATACCAATGCTAAGTTGCTTAGCATAACAATATTAAGCTGTCAATATATCTCGCGGACTCATAGTATTTTATTATGTTGTGAGTATCTCAACCTAGTTCTTCCTTTAAAATTTCATGTGTCATAATTAAAACAAACCATCACGCATTATCGTGACTTATTTTCTCATTGCAAAATTGGTGTTGTAACTTGCAAGGCATATTAAATTTCGACCGAGAAGAATGTAAATTTTAAATAAAATGCAGTTCACTTCAAATATGTTGAAAAATAAAATCTAATTTACTTATAATTACAGCAACTTTTTCAATCTCTTTTTTCTTCCTTAAAAGAAACAAACTCAAAATCACCACACGAGTGTCATTGTTGGCCCATCCTTTCCTTGAGGCCTAACAACGCCACCCGGTCCTCATCAATCTTTCTGAATCACATCTGGTGGCCCATGTTATCAATTTTATTGTCACCGTCATTGTCAATCCTTTTAACGTTAAATTAATTAAAAAGATTAAATTAACGCTCTTCATTCATGGTGTTTGGAAAATATATAATGTTTCTGAGCTGAGTAGAAACATTTGGAGGTTTTTAGTCACTGCTCAATGCTTCAATATTGTAGTTACTCCTTTTAACCATGTTTTGCATTGAAATTCTATAATTTGGTGATCAGATCTGGGATTTCCACTCTTGAACCCAAAAAGAGTTTGAATGCCCCCAGCTAGACCTCATTCAGGCTACTCACTAAATCTTTTAGGTTGTATTTGAATGAGTGAATTTGAATTGAAAATTTAGATTTAAAATTTATAGATTTTAAATTTTTTGTTTGAATGATATAAAACATTTCAAATTATAATATTAAAATTCTTTATTTGGATTTTAAGTAAAATTCTAAATCTTAAATTTTATATTTAAATTTCAAAGTAACTCAGGCAAAGTCAACAATCTGGATGGTCGACTTCTACCGAGACCAAACCGTTGGTGCCTACCGAGGATGGAACAACAAACTTTCACTTGGACCGTACTGCTAGCAATTAGGATAAGATGGCCAATTTTCACCAAGATCGGACCATCAGCACTGACTGGGTCTAACTGCTAGCATGAACTATGATAAGACCGTACACATCTACTGGGACTAGGATTGAACTGCTAGCAATGACAGGGAGCAAATGGCCAACTTCCATCGAGATCTAACCGACAATAACAATCGAGATAGGACTATCTATCGAGATTGGATAGTCGCTTGCAATGGGATCATATAGTCGGATTCCATTATGATCAAGTTTGATGACTTTGACTGGGATCAAATCGATGACCTTAAACAAGATCAGACCATCGATTTTGACTAGAACAGGACCATCGGCATTGACCAGGACCAAACCATTAGTGGTCTGTTCTCGGTCAAGTTCGACAAAAACATTTATCCTTTATACATTATGTATTTTTTAGACAAAATTAATAAATTTTAAGATGTTTACTAACACTGATAAAATATACCCAAAATGGCTTACATAAGTAGTTAAGCCAAACTATGAACGATATGCCTTTTATACAGTTTAATGCAAGCTGCATTATCCATAAATTTAAGAATAATGCAACTTCGCATGTAATTTATTTTATCTATATTGAGTATTGAACATTGCAATTAAGGCGAGGGCAAATGATGGTGGTGATAGCAAATTGATATTGGTTTAAGTGTCTCTGGGAATCTACAAATCCTTTATCCATCTCAAGGATGGAAAAATGTGCTAATTTTATTTGAAATGCATAGACTTAAGTTAAATAGTACATACAAGAATTTACTCTAGATCTTTAAAAGTTGGATAGGTATACAAGATTTGTTTGCATCCAAATTGTGAATTTGGAGGCTCGAACTCAACTCAACTTAAGCAGCCTTAAAATAATTAAAAATAAATATTCATGAAGCCTTAGCAGCTAAGTTAACATTGGGTCTAGGAAATTATCTCTACACTTTACCCATGATGTTTGAATTATAGAAGTAAAAAAAGTGGCCACAATGGAGACATTGCTTCCTAAATTCAAGAAAAGTTGCAATCATGGGTTGAGTACCAAATCAGAATCATTTATAAATAGAGAAGCTATCTCTCATTAAAGGAATCATCATCAATAAACTACCAATCAAATTCCTAGATTCTGCTTCTGTTGCTTTATTTTTTCTTTTATCATGTAGTTTTAATCTTTTTTTTTTATTGTACGGTTACTATAGCTCACCACCTCTTTCTTTAGTTAATGTATCTCTGTTTTTCTATATCTACATTAATTTTCTTCACTTTGCATTCTCAAGTCTCTAGTAAAAAGGCCCAGGGTTCCCTGCGTTTGATTAGAAGTTTGGTTCTTTTATCCTTTTGAGACCCTGTATTTCTAATATGCTTGGTATTTTTTTGTTGTTTATGAAAAATAATTTG